AATAGAAAGAGACACTGGATGGAGATATATGTAAGAGTTGAGTCAGCCAGCCATGGTTTTGCTTCAGTTTTAAAGGAATGGGACAAAGGGTACCAAGGGAGTTCCAGAGAAAATGATGAGGATATTTTGGGATATTGACCCTTCAAAGGCTACCTTGGATGCCAAATCCTTGTAAACTTTTTCACGCAAAACAATGGTGGTTGCTGGCTCTTTTCCCTACTCCATTTCTCCTTTCACTACGGTGTGCACTGAGAGCAACCTCCTCGTCATAAACAAAAGTGGAAGGGGGTGTGGGGTGTGGGGGCGCAGGGAAAGGGGTGCAGGAAACGGGGTACGGGGAAGGGAGGTGTAAGTTTAAGAATTTTTTTTTAAGGGTAATTTAGATATTTTATATATTTTTTTAAAAAAAGGAGGTGTGTTTATATGAGAGTGGAGGTGTGTTTATCATCTGCCAATAAAAAATATTAAAAGTAGGGGTCATCGTCAGGGCCCAAAGAGCCCAATCCGAACAAAACCGCATCAAATAATTTTAGGCCCATTTCTAACTGCAGTTCATCAAGTTAGACAGGTCTCAGATTGGCAAGTCATGGGGTTGAAATGATTTGGGCCAATGCTTACTTTTACCTTAATTTAAAGACTACATTTTTTCTTTTTTGCACAATTTTAAATTTATTACAACCGAATAGATCATAACTTTAAGGGTCTTTATTTTGACATTAGGCCCTACAGAATTTATGACAATTAACATTCTGCTGTGAGCAATGACGATTATCGGGTTATGATAGTACTATGTTTTGATAGGAGAATAGATAAAAAAAAATGAAAGGTGTTGAAGAAATATTTAAAAAATTCAAGTATTCTAAACATCATTACTCTTTCATGCGATAACAAGAGATAAATTCAGTGAACACGTTCCTTTAATTATCACTTTGATAGAAAAAGAGAATAAGTTGAAGATACGCGGTATGATTAGGGATGAAAAAAATCTGTAAATTAATAAAATATGTAAGCATAGAGTATGATAAATAGTCATGAACATGCAGATAATTTAAACAAATATAGATCGTCAATAAACAGCTGGAAGTGTATACGAAGGTACCCAACCTTATCCGTTACAATAAAATTAATTAAATTTAGTTTTAATTAAAAAATTATTTATAAAAATGTAATCTTTTAAAAAATAGATAAGAGTTACTTTTAAGAAAAATTACTTTTTTCTTAAAAAAAATAGTTTTTTTTTTTGGTAAAGTACCGACAAAAAGAAAAACAAAACAAAATTACAATCTAACAAACGGACCTCCAGCTATGTCCGCTAACACCTGAGACTCCACCTCAGGTGGAGGGGAAACAATTTCCTCCACCTCTAGACCTCGCATTTGTCCCCGTCTAGCCAATAGATCAGCACACTTGTTCCCTTCTCGGAATGAATTTAGACAAGGCCATCAAAATAATAAATAACTGTTTATTTTATAAAAAGAATTAAGAAAAAAAAAAGTATTTGATGGATATATTGAATAAGTATTGACAAAAGTTTTGATATGTAAAAGTGTTTATACATATTATTACTCATCTGGTTTTGGCAGCAGCAAATCGGATCCTTCTAGTTAGGTTGTGAACGACTTGAAATTATGACAAGATGTGTTTGGTGGCCGGTGGTGGAGAAGATCTGTTAGAGAAGAAGATCATGACAATGGTGATAGTGATGGGTTTGCGCAGATCGATCTTAAATTGAGACGAATTTTGCTGGTTAAAGGAAAAGTAGAGGAAGCCATGGCGTGGAGGGGAAAATGGAGATATGAATATGTCGAGTTCTTTTTTTTTTTTTTTTTTTTTAATGTTGTTGTGTTAGATTGGGTGCGGATGATGGGTGGATAGCAAGTTTTATAGGATGATAAATTCTATAGTACCCATGTTATTTGAGAGGGTATCAGTACAGTTGTAATTACAATTTTATTTTATATTTTATATTTTTAATAATTTATTTAAATAATATTTTATTCTTTCAATTTTTAAATTATTTAGTCATTTTATTTTTATTTTATATATTCTAATTTTATTTGTAATAATATTATTATATATTTAAATAGTTTAATTTTAATAATTTTTTTAAGTATATTTTTGTCTTTTCACTTAAAATTTTTATATTTTAATTTTAATAATTTTTTAAGTATATTTTTGTCTTTTTGTCTTAAATTTTTAAATTTCTATATTATAATTTTAATAATTTTTTATTTCTACTATTTATTAATTCTTTTCTTTTTTAATGTTTTATAACATTATTGAAATCTTATAATTTTAATCTTTATAATTTTATCTTACTTGTCATTTTATAAATATAATTTAGATTATTCATTTTATAATTAAATTATTATTTTTTAGATCTTTTATGAGTTTACATAGAAGAATATATTGAAACCCCTCAATCTTTGATGGTACCGTAGCAACTCCCTTATAGGATAGCGAGAAAAGGTTAAGAACAAGGCAAAATCTGAAATCAGTAGAACTTTTTTAGTATTTTTTAATTGAAAACGTGATTAATCTCGATATTACTTTCATAATTTCCGTTTCTTTTATCCACAAATGGAATGAATCGTGATTTGGTACACATCTAGGAGGTTTGGCAAGTATGAGTTTGTAAGGTAAGACCATGAGATGAAACATAGGAAGTCGCCAATGGTACATCGACGGTGGTGGTAGTTAAGGGAGTCATCAATAGTGGATTCCAATATGTTTAAATGAAGAATACGAAGCTACCTGAAATGAGGACTTTCTAGGAGGTTTGGCAAGCATGAGTTTGTAGGATAAGACCACGAGATGAAACATAGGAAGTCGTCGATGGTACATCGGCGGTGGTGGTGGTTAAGGGAGTCATCAATAGTGGATTCCAATATGTTTAAATGAAGAATACGAAGCTACCTGAAATGAGGACTTTGTACAAAAGCATCGAGGTAAATGGAGTGTCATGTTGGAAATCACTTACAAACACTCAAATTTTTAATCATTAATAAAAGAATGAGTAAAGGGACCTTATGAATCCCTACGAGAAAGTGTGAGAAAACTTGTGATGTGAATCCCTATTTATAATCTCCGTAATACTGTGTAAGAGAAAAAAAATATTTTATATAAACAAATTGTTATATAATGTATCGCATAATATTTTGCGTCATGCAAAATTGTCTAGTTACTATTTAAGATATGACAAAGTAAAATTAACATATATGATTAGGTTAATCTTATCGTATAAGTTAGTCTAAAATGGTTAAGTCAATCTTATTATGGTTGGAATGATTTTGTCATGCATATGTCTATAGCCTCCTAACTTTTTGTTGAAGGGTCTAGTCGAGTATCCCTACATGTAAAACTGTTCTACTTGGCATCTACTTAGTTTAAAATCTATTCAAAATCTATTCGATATAAAAATATGCTCAACTAAAAATCTACTCATATTTACCTGAAAAAATCTACTCAGAAGTCTACGCAATAATATCTATATTAAAATTTACTTGGTAATATTTACTTAGAAAAATCTACTCAAAAATATCTACGGTGGAAATCTATTTGTTAATATCTACTTAAAAAAATCTATTAAAAAAATTGTAACAATCATTTGAAATTTCTCTTTGGAACCAACTTTGTCACAAATTATATTAAGTTTATGATAGGTGACTACCCTTGTATGTTAAAAATACGAACTACATTTTCTACACGACCAAAACTTTCATAACAAATGTAATATTCAAACCTACAACTGATCGAGCAAATCAAACAACTAGATTCTTCATGCTTTTGACACTCAAACTTGTTGGGTAAGTGTACCCACCTAGCCTTTTGTCAAGAGGGTCGGTACGAGAGAGTACTCCAATTTAGTCTCTATGTTATTTTTTATATTTGAGTTGGTAAGTAAGTGTACTCTACTAACCTTTTGCTAAGAAAGTCTAATCGAGTACCCCTACTTGTAAAACTACTCAACATTTATTTGATCCGAGACCTATATTTGGCACAAAATTTAGTCATTAAACACAATGATTAAGCACCAAAATATGGTATTCAATAAAGAATAAATTCCCATAAAATCTCAAAATTTTTGGAGCTTATAAAGACACAACAATTAAGTATAAAATCCTCATTTTAGGATAAAGACAAATAGATTACAATCTTTGAGTGTTTTAAGTTTTGGACTACAACTAGGATTTTCTAAAGTCAGTCCTTCATCTCAAAACAATCTCAATTTCAAGTTGTTATGTTACAATGTTTTACTTGTAACTCGGTTAATATGAGGATGAGATTAATCTTTTAACAACTTCTCCTAAACAGAAACCTTTCAAGTTGATGTAAAACTTAAAAATTTTATACCAATTTTGCTCAAGTTTTGACCCTTAAGAAATTATTTTATATCACAATTAAACTATTAATTAAGATGACAATAATTTTGACAATTATCATTTGATTTAGTTCAATAAAAGGGATTGTTTTTTATTTGAATTAATGTGTTTATTAATTTAGTAAAAGGAATTACCATTAAGAAGAATGTTTACTTTTACTATGATTTTAAAATTGGACTGATCATTAAATTGATCAAAATGATAGATTAAAGTTTAATCTTGATCAATTCAATTGTTTAATTGTAGTTAAATAGTAGTCAAACTAGTATTAATAAAATAATAATAATAATATCTAAATAATATTAAATGAATATAATATCATCATTTCTCAACATTAAAAATTGGAATAAATTTTAATATTCAAAGTGATCGTAAAAGTTCAAATATAATATTTAATTTTAAATTTAAATTTAATAAAATACAATAAGGTCCATTAACAATAATAAATTTACATCTAGAATAAAAAAAGAATGTGAGATTAACATACAATAAAATTGAAAAATATCAAGATATAAAAAATTATAAATTAATATAAAAGACTAAATTATTTTTTACAAAAATTTATTAAAAAATGATAAAATAATATATTCAAATTTATAATCTTTATCAAATATGTTTTTATTTATTACAAAAAATTATAAATAAATTTAAATATAATTTAAAAATCTGTCAAAAAAAAAAATTAAACAGTAGTGGTTCAACCCAATTTCTACACCAAGTTTGGACTAGTTATCACCATATACTTGTTTGATCGGTTCAAAAATCTACCAGTTTTTTTTTAAGTAAACGGATCGGCCACCAAATTGATTCTAGCTGGTTAAGTTTTGACAACTATGCACGTATGTTTGTTTGAATAATTTTTTCAATAAATATTTATAAAAATAATTTGAGTTATTTATTTTAAGTAAAATCAACTTAAATTTCATATATAAAAAATTCACTAACTTGTTTAAATGTCAAGATATATTAGTTGATTTTAGATTAGACAAAAGTTTAATATATTATAGTTTTTTTTTCTATAAATATTCATAAATAAATTTATCCTATAAAAATCTTACATATTGTTATGGTTTAAATGAAAAAGAAGAGGATAGAGGAGTAAAGAAGATGACATTTTTTTAAACAAAATCCTTTCCTTATTTGACAGAACATATAAAAGAAAAGAAAAGAAAATCATCTTACTTTATTAATTCTTTCTTTACATTTAAGAAATAAGACTTAGAAAAGTTTAAAGATAATTACATCTTTATTTTAAAGAGGAGATAAAATTACATTTATGTATTTTTTATAATTATTACACCATTCAATAACTTAAAATAATTATTTTTAAAATTTTTCGTTAAATTACTTTTCTTTTTTTTACATTATTTATACAAATTTTTATATTAATATAAAATTATTTAAAACCTCATTCATATGGTTAAAATATGTAATATATATTTTTTAAATAGAGAAAAATTAGGGTGATCCATAATTTCACACCGATAGATTAAAGAGGTACTTGGGATTATATATGGTCTTTTCACATATTATCATTTTCCTAAAAACTCAGCGGCCAAAGCTTTATGACCCTGCCATGGTGTGTCTACCATCAAGTCTGTTGCCTTCATCTGATTCTATTGTTAGTGTTCAACTTTGAGAGAAGGAGTTGTGGAAAGGAGGAGGAGGGGCCACGGAGGGAGAAGAGCAATTGTTACTTAATATGGAAGACTGAAAATGGAGGAGGAGGACGAGAGAAAATGAAAGTAGAAAAAGGAAAAGAAAATAAAAAAAATAAAAAAAGCTTGGGGTGAAAAGGACATTATATATTAGATTTGGTAGAACATTAAGATCTAAGTGTATATATTAAAAATAAATATGATTCATCGTGTACCGCCTATCACGATAGATTACACTCAAGTTTATTTTTAAAGTATACTTAAAATATGAATAATTTAATTAATTTCTTATTATTATTTAATTTTAATAAAATATAACAAAAATATATAATAATATAAAGTTATAATTGTAGAATCGATCAAATTAGGTTTTAATCGAAAGTTAATAAAGATATACTATTTGGCAAAAGTGACGTTGGTGTACTATGATCTTTTCCTTATTTAAAAATGTTGATATTATTTTGTATACATGTGCGAGAGAAAAGATGCAGAGAAGTGTTTTTAATTTATTCCACGGTGAAAGGATTGTACAATATAAAAAATTTCGCTGGGGCAATGATGAAATGATGGTGGATATAACGAGACAAAGGTTGGAATCACTTTGGTTGTGCTATTAAAAGTGCTGCAATAATGCATTTTATTCCTTTACTTAATGCAGCACAAGACCAGCTGAAACTACCGGTAGTTCTCGTCTATGTTACAAACCAACAACACTTTGGCATGTGCAAGCTTTTGGTTGCTAAGCCTAAGACTTACCCGTGAACAACTGGTCACTATTTTCTGTCTGACATCTCATGTGTCATGAACATGTAACATCAATTGTGCCTTCGAGTTTGACATGTTTTATATATAACCTCTTGTAATATTTTTTTCATTACATCAATTAATGGTGTCGCATCTGATGTTTCTCTTTTCACTTTTCATCTTTCTTTATTATATGAGTGGTTTATACATACTAATAATTAATGATTCACTTTTCACTTTTTATCTTATTTTATTATACATGTCGCTGTATAAAAATTGTAAAGATATAGTTTTCTATGAATATTCATGACAACCCAAGTGAGTGGAATCTTCGCGGTAATTTCCTCTCACTTATCTCTGGTTGTTACCATACAATACAAACTGAGGGACTTCTTTATTACTATCCAATATCCACTACATCAAAACCAAGCTGATTCTGTCATTCTGATATGAGTATATCCCCTATTATCCTTTTTATATTATTTGTTGTTAATTTTCTTAGTTTTAGTACGCTAAAAACTGCCACCGCTTAAGGAAAAGACAAACACTGAAAACGAAATATAATTGAAAACAAAATGATTATTGAATTGAAAAATATGAATAAAAGATTAACATGAACTCTTAAGATGTATATGAGACTGTCTGTCCAATAATTTTTGACTTGGCCAACACTGCCGTGGACATCCTATCTTCTTTAATCTTTATGAGACTGATTGGACTTTGTCGCTTGTGCCATATGGCAATTGGCATTATTCACCTAACATTTTACGTATTAATAAATGCCATTCTAATTTCTAAGGCTGCCTAAAACTAAATAATTCAGCATCATGCATTACAAATTATTGCTGTCTTACTAGAAGCTTCGCTTCTTTTTCTTTTTTCTTTTTTCTAACGTGTATAGGTGTATTTCGTCTCTCCATGATCCCCGATCTCCGCGTATCCTAAAAACCATAACCTTATCTTGGATACCTATTCACCAACGTGGATGTGTCCCTCTTCATTAATTTGTTTATTTTGTCCACTATATATATATATATATATTGTATGTTTTGGAGGCTAAAAGTTGTTCCGTTCTTTGAGTGTTTTAATGGTAGTAATTCAAGTATCAATCTTTCACGTTTGTCTTTATTAGATATGGTATGTATGGTAGAAAATAACTTTCAGATTATCAATAAGTTTTCAGATACAATTTTTTCGATAATTAATGATATAAATTTGATTTTAACTTGCCTTTATATAACAAAAATAAATTATTCAATTCTTACTTATATTTTAAAAAACAATCTTTTAAATTCATTTTTTTTATATCTTGTTGCATACCATCGGTCTATAAGAAGGTTAGCCCCCATAATAACGTGGACCTAAGTGGTTAGATTTAATCTCAGACAATGCCTCAAGTATAAACATTTCTATAAGAAAGAAGATATCTGCGAAAAAAAAATATTAGGTTATTCATGCTTGTGTCACACATTTCTAATTTAATAATTTCTCTCTAAACAATGATAACATTAGAGAAAAGTGGTGTACAAATTAAACTTGCCTTACTATAAATATATCCATTCAGCTTCTCTTTCTCTCCATCTAAAAAAAATGGGTGGTTTAGCGAGGCATCTTCCTCTATTGGTTATGATAGTTTTGCAAATTCATTATGCAGCTCTTGCCATCTTCACAAGAGCCGCTCTGTTAGATGGATTGAGTACAACGGTCTTTGTAGTGTACAGGCATGGCATAGCCACTTTGGCTTTGGCACCTATGTTTCTCTCTTCTACGAGGTAATTATCAGACCACTTCTTCCTTTCGTATTCTCCTAGCTATAATTTTTATTCACTTGCTCACTCACATACATGCTTGTTTTTTATTCACTCACATACAGGAGACAATCAATGAAGAATTCATTGGGATTCAGGAGCTTCACTTTGATGTTTGTCACAGCCCTTGTTGGGTGAGTACAATTTGGCAAAATCACTTGTCACATGTTCATTTTATGCCAAAAAATTAAAACTAAAAACTTAAACTTTTTTTTTTTTTGGCAGAGTCACAGCAAATCAGAATGCATATTTTAGAGGATTATATTATTCATCTTCAACTGCAGCCACGGCAATGAGTAATCTAATACCCGCGTTAACGTTTGTAATTGCAACAATTGTTGGGTAAGGGCTCTAAGAATACACGTATAAGTAATACAAAAGAAAAAAAAGATTTAAATCACGAATCCTTGAGCTAAAATAGAATTTAACTAATTAACAGTTTCACAGTAAATCAAATGCTTTTACTGATGTGTTTAGTGTTTTCTTAAAATTAAATTAGATTTGAGAAAATAGATGTACGAAGCTTAAGAAGCGTGGCAAAAATATTAGGGACAATTTGTTGCGTCAGTGGAGCCTTAACCATGGCTTTGGTCAAAGGACAGAAGCTGTTACACATGGAGTTTCTTCCTTCTATACACCTCACTGGCACTGGAGGTGACGACTGGCTTCTGGGTTGTCTGTTGCTCTTAGCAAGTAGTATTTTTTGGTCATGTTGGATGATCCTTCAGGTAAATAAAAACCATGTTGTTATTATTATATATTTCATTTTTCATGACATCATTTAATTTAGTACACTTAAAAGAATATCACCATAGTCTTGACTAATCTCAAATAATACGTAATTGGATATGATAACTCTTTATAAATTGAAAACCTTGGCTATATATGGCATGAAGATTGATTGGGATGGTGAACAGTAGATGATGAAGACCGTGCAATAATTCCTTTTAAAAACATAGTGTACGGTTTGTTTTATAAAATCCAGAATATTCTTGAATGATTCCTTTCTGCATCGGTGGACATCTGACTGGACTTCAACTCAACAGGTACCAATTGCTTCATCTTGCCCAGACCATTTATTATCAACCTTTTGGATGTGTCTCTTTTCAACACTCCAATCAGCCATAATTGCACTGCTTTCTGAGCCTAATCTTCAAGCATGGATTTTACCCTCACCCCTACAAATTTCATGTTCTTTATACGCAGTAAGTCACAAAGCCACTCAGTAATTATTTGTTGTGTCATAGTACCAACACCGTTAGCAACTTGTATTATTTTATTATTTTATGAAACAGGGAATCGGAATAGCGGTTAGCTTCCTAATTCAATCCTGGTGCATCTCAGAAAGAGGACCCTTGTACTGTGCCATGTTCAATCCTTTGGCCACAGTCATCACTGCTTTGATAAGTGCAACCTTCCTAAAGGAAGAGATATACGTTGGAAGGTAATACACTAATACGCTATACTTTGTTCATCAAGAAACTCGAACAGTATAATTATATCATTATATGTATGGCCTAATAACATGCAAATTCATTTTCAGTTTGATAGGGGCTGTTGGAGTTATTGCTGGTTTATATATTGTTCTTTGGGGTAAAGCCAAGGAGTTTGAGGAGTATAAACAAGAGACACCCCAATCAAACTTGCAAAATGATGAGATAAGTAGTAAGATAGATTTGGAAGAACCTCTTCTGTCAGAGAAGTCTGAAAATGTAGCAGAAGCGGAGAACAAGGTGTAGCCATTATCACTAAACAAATAGAAGTTTTGGTGAAATAAAATTTTGATCGTTTCAGAATTCATCAAACGGGTCGAAACAGCTAGAACAAGTGGCAGCTTAAACAAACTTGGCTTAATCTCTTTCACCAAAATTTCTAACGAAGAGAATGTGAAAATAAATTCAAGCTCTGGGCCTGGATTAATGGTAATTATGTAAAAGTGATAATATTTTTTTTTTTTGTAATGAAAATTTCTAGTATGTCGTTAGGAGAAAAAATAAGAATTAATTTCTATTTCCTTACCTCCGTTTATTCCGATTATGCTGGGAAAATTAGGAGTGTTGCATTCGTATTTTCACGTTTGCGTTTTATATATTTTCAGTATATTATATTGAAAACCACTTAAATTTTCGATTATCAATAACCTATTGAGAAAACTTTTTCTTTTGGGAGAAATAAAATTTCACTTCGTTAATTAATTTCTGAAGTCTTAAAATAAACTAATCTTTAACTATCAAAATACAGGAGATATCCTTCTTTTGCGCCAAAATTAATAGTGCAAAGTGAAACCTCTTATTTATTTTGAAAACATCTTATATAAGCAGATAAAGATAAAATTGTGCAGAGAAAAATTACACAAGCCTGTGTTAAATTTTCTTAAAGTTTCACAAATTATTTCACTTACTGTTAAAAAAGACTTTTTAAACGTAAGGTTATAAAAACAAATTCAAGATATTTGTATAAAAGATGATTTTTAACTAACTATTTATTATCATTTAAAATTTATTTGGATTCGCAAAATTATATAGTATATATATTTATTTAATAAATTCATAATTTTTTTTATTTTAAAATTCAATTTAGTGCTTACAATTTTATAAAATACATTCTAATATTATCACGCATATTTAGAGAGAGAAACATCTTATATAAACTTACAATTTTATAAGAACATATTTTGTGTTATGTGTCAATTTTGTATACATGCACTATGTATTTGAATATATATATATATATATATATATATATATATATAATTTAAAATTGTATCTATCATTCATATATTTTATATATAATAATGATTTAATATAATTACAAATATGAGATTATTACATACTAAATCAATTACAATTATTTTGAAATTATAATTTATCAATCATTAAGTTAGTCTCATTGTGACTCATTTCAAATGATATATAATTTGTAAAATTTCTAAAAAAATATTTATTTAAGATTTAAATAAGTTTTGATTTATACATAGTGTAATATTTAAAATTTTAAAATTTATTGATTATATTTTGCAATAATTATATAATTTTGTTAAAAATATCATGAAATTTAATATATTTATTTTAATCAATACAACGTATATTTATATATATATATATATATATATATATATATATAAATGTGGTTTGTTTTGGTTTGGAACACTTTCACATTCCAATCTAAAAACCAAACCAAACTGCGTGATTTTGAAAATTTAAAAACTAAACCAAACTGATAATTTGTGGTTTTTCATCAATTTCTAATTTTTTGAATTGATTTGTGATTTTTGTTTGAATTGATTTGGTATGAGCACCCATAACTGTCGTTTACAACTTAGATCAATGACACCCACCACCTAACCTAGTTTGCCTAACTCGCATCAACGGAACATGCCACATGACCTCACATTGCCATAAAGACTTCTGATACAAGAGATCTTACACTTAAGTCCAACGTCTTCCATTACTAAATACTCATCCAAGCTTAGTCATCATTGCCATAAGCTTTAGATACTTACTTTGTCATTATAAATTTTACATAACTTAAATCAAGGACAATTGTCACCTAACCTAGCTCACATCAATGGGACATGATGCTTGACCTCCACACTTCTAAGAAGACTTTCAACATAAAGGATCTTGACATAGATTTATCACCTTCCATTGTTAATAATCGTTCGAGCTTAGTCATCATCGTCATAAGCTCCAAATACTTGCACCACCATTACAATTTTTACATAACTCACATCAACAACAACCACCGCCTAACCAATAACTCATCACATGAATGGGACATGCAACTTGACATTCATACCGTCAGGAAAACTTTTGACATAAGGAATCCCCCACTTAAATCAACCGCCTTTCATTGTCAAATACTCTATATTAAACCATCAACTTTGATACCACGGTTGGGTTACTAGGTGTTTACCATTGTCGTCACATTCGTATGATATTATTTACTTTGGAACCCTCATGAATTTATTTTTAGTCATCACTTGAAAGATCTCATACCAATAGAGACATTTGTGTACTTATAAACTCATTCTTTCTATTGTTTCAACCGTGTGAAACTTGTTTGTATCTGTTTACGGTGGTATATGTTTTATGGGTTCTTTTTATTTAGACTAGCACACAATGTGTTTCAATTTAGGTACTTCACTGTGTTATTGCGTTATTAAGAACAAAGAGTAGAGTAGAAAGTTTCAGTAATTACTTGTTTCTAAATGTTCTTCTATTAATACTAACAAGCAACGTTCATGCACGCAAATAATAATGTGAACAGAATGAACAAAACATATATTTCCAATACAGATCATGGTTCATAATTTGCCAACATTACAATATCATCAGAATTTACGTAATTTAAACTATGTGATTACAAGAAGAACGAAGACTAAACTAATCCTAATCTAGAAAGAAAAAAGGAAAGTGGTCAAGAAGCAATCATACCCAAAAATGATCTTGTGCACGAAAGCCATATGCGCAGGCGGAGAGTGCTTCAGAGTTCTATTAAGTATGAGTTTTTCCGACCTCTGTAAAGGTCCGTAATCCTTGTATTTATAGAGCAATCAAGAGCGGTTAATT